TTTATATTTTTCAATACAATAAGTGATACTTTGTATATTTTAAAATATCAATTATTTGATTTTCTAGGTAATACTTTCTTATAATATATATATATTTTTTGGTATGGACCACCTAGTATCTAAAAGTTTACTGAGCTATCGATTAATCTGAATTCAAGTCGAATAAGACCCAACAGACGATAAAATTCTTCATCATGGGTTTTAACGGAGTTGCATTTCCAAGACTTGAAACCAAGATCTCTAGTTAAACTGGAGGAGTCCATGCCAACTCATCCACCCATCTGTGAGTTCTTATAATATATTAATGACAGTTGAGAGTTTTATTTTTTATTTTTTTAATACATAATTCTCATTAAGTAGTTTTATTTGATAAAAAAAATTTCAATTATCACTTATATAATATAAGATATATAAAAATATCACTTAAAATTATATGTACCAATTAATGATTTATATTTTAAAATAAAAAAGGTAATCGTTACTCAATCATTCCTCCTTTTTTTGAACATAACGAAATTGGTTCATTTCAAACACCGCCATACGGCATCTACAGGAATAATAAACAATAAAATTACATCAGGAGCAAGAAACTAGAGTAGACCCATATCCAGAGGCCGAAGGGAGGTGCACACGACACTCGAACAACCACTAAGGGCCCAGCTATACAGCGGCCTTCGGTCGAGCGATCCAAATGAGACACCCTTCAATTTACCCATGTGGAAGGTGCGCCAGGCTCCAGGATGCCGATGTGGAGACCCGATCAGGCGGAGGCCGTTCCTTGGAGGCAACAGATGGGTCGCAAGGTTGCCAGATCTAGGATTCCCTGCGTGCACCGCCACCGATAGAAACTGTCGGATGGAGGGGACCATCGTCGAATCTGCAAGTAAACCAAAAATAGCGAGCACCTAACAAGATCTGCAGGATAGAGCCAAGGGTCACCAGATATGAAAAACAAACTATACAAGAACACAAAGAAAAACAAAACAACAAGAAAAAACAAGTAAACCAAAGAGGTCATCGGAGGAGGGAGCACAGGACAGCTCCAACATGCTTTAACGGCCGGGAAGCCCCGTGGCTCAAGCATCAAAACCCCGGAAGCTCAAAGGCTTCCGAGCAAAAACAACGCAACGCCAAAGAAGGGAGGCAGAAACATGAGAGAAGGGAGAGAAAAGGGGGAAAGAGAGAGAGAGAGTATCACATAAAATGATTTTAATCATTCCTCCTTATCATGTGTCATAAGCGCGCATAATAAAAAATTAATTAATTTTAACAATGGGAAGGTAATAATAGTGGGTGCAAAAGAGAAAAAAATTAAAAAAAAATGTAGAAAATTGAAAGAGGAACCAAGTCAATGGGTCAATAGGGAAAATTACAAAAGACATGGGGACAGATTGAAACAAAATAAAGACAAACACAGGGGCTTCCGACAGAAAACAAAGATATTCGAGCCCACATTCGAAAATCTGACCGTTGGGACCCGTTCCTTGCCCACGGGTACCGGTTAACATTCAAAAAACCAACTCCCCACTTTCTCTTCCACTTTTGCTCAGAAACTTAACTCCTCAGAAAATCCAAAAAAAAAAAAAAACTGAAAGAAAAATACAGACGATGGGATGTGTTTCTTCAAAGCTTGTGAAGAAGGAAGTCAAGCAGGATATTCTCCTTAACAATGGCGGCGACTTGGTCAATCATGTCGTTTCTCTTACTTCGAGCACGTATGGTGTGCTTAAACTCGAGAGTGAAAGTCAGCGGCAACCCATTAAGGAGATTGTTTTGGAAGAAAAAGGAGCGGAGAGATCACCGCGGAGAGAAGAACCGGAGGTTATTAATGCGTGGGAGCTTATGGAGGATCTTGAAGAGGGAATACCCATTAGGAATCATGCCAAGAAAAGCCCCAAATCGCGGGTTCAACTTCGTGGGTTTGCGGATAAGGATGTTAGAAGTCCGTTTAAGTTCTTGAATCGGAGTGGGTCGCCGAAGACGGTGAAGAGATTTGGAGGGAAAGAGAACAGGGGAAGAGTGATCGGTGTCGGCAATGGGAATCGGAAATTAGATTTTAGTCCGAAATCGATTTTGAGGGTGAACAATTCTTTGAATACTCCGTGTAAAGCAGTAATGAGTGTGAGTTTTCCGGTTAAAAGCACGAAAGGGGAAAGCTTGGACGGCCACTCTGGGTTTTTGTCGCAGAGGAGGAGCTTTAGTCCCCTGTTTGATCCAGAGCTCGTTGCATTATACGAGAAAGAGCTATCGGAAGAAGAGGAGCATGTCAAGATGGTAATTTCACCGGTGCTCGATATCCGATACCCCAGGAAATCCCAGGATTCAGGAGCTTTTCTCCAACTGTTCGACGAAATGTGTCCTCCGGCAGGCAAAAACGCTGTAGTATTTTACACCACCACGCTGCGAGGAATCAGAAAGACTTTCGAAGATTGCAACACTGTAAGATCCATCCTCGAGTCCCATTGCATTCAAATGTTTGAGCGTGATATATCCATGGATTCAGGGTTTAAAGAGGAACTAAGGGCATTAATGGGCACGAAAGATGTGAAAGTTCCAATGGTGTTTGTGAAGGGAAGGTTGATTGGGGGAGTTGAGGATGTGGTAAAGATGGAAGAGGAAGGGAAATTGGGAAATTTGTTGGAGGGGATTCCGAGGTCAACTCCTGGGTGTCAAGGGTGCGGTGGGATGAGATTTGTGATGTGTATGGAGTGCAATGGGAGCTGTAGGGTCTTAAATGAAGAACACAAGAAGATGGTGAGGTGTGGTGAGTGCAATGAGAATGGGTTGATTCAGTGCCCCATGTGTAGTTCCTAGTTTACCCTAATTTAACTAATGGGGTTTGTTTCTTTCTTATTTTGGGTTCTTCCATTTCACCATACTACATGTGAACCTAAGAATACTGATTTCTTGGAGATGTTTTTCAATTTCGGAAATGGTGAGGGGTTCTAAAGTGGGTTTTAGGCCTCTGTATGTGCTGGTCTTTTTTTTTTGGCTTCCTTGTACTCTTTTGAACTTTATTTGTTCAATATATCTACATGATTTACATTTACTTATAATTTTATGGGTTTTTTTAATCTTCCTCTTTATGGTGCATTTATTGCATATATTTTTATAATTTATTTATATAAAAAATTGTGAAAATAAATTTTATTTCCAATACTTATACCACATAAAATGAATTAATTAAATAGTTAATAAAATTAAAATTTGCTTTTATTTTTATTATACAAATTAATAATAAAAATGTCTAATAAATATATTTTTAATCTATATCTTAAGAAAAGTGTTAAAAAATTCCTAGTTTTATTGATCTACCATGTGTTAAGGTATATTTAACTTGCTTAATAACTCAATAGACTAATTAACATAGATTTCAAAAATTATCATACAGTTCAATAAGAATCTAACATCAATCTTAATAGTTATATCAGTTACAAATTATCTTATTCAATCGAATAACTATCTTAATTAGTCATATCAATCATAACAATATGGTTTTATTCAATTTAATGACGATCCTAACTACTTATAACAGTTAATAAAACGACAAACTTAAATTAGAGCAAGACTTTAAAACAGTTGCATCTACAGAATGCAGCATCAAATCTACTAGTAGGACTTTTCTGTTTCTTTTTATTCCTTCCAGGGGTTATGAGCTCTTCAAGAACCATTTGCATTTAACTCTACCCCGTACACAGTTTTTTTTTTTTGAAAATAGGTAATGTAGTACACAGTTTTTGATTCTACCCAGTAAAGTTCCAGTCTTTAGAATGAACAACCCATTACCAGTTACACTACGCCAAGTGGCACGAGTCAAAGTTTGACAAACAATCTCGTGACGTGTCAACTGTTGGATTCAAGTCCTTATTGTAGGCTAGGCCGACTACCGCACCTGATTTCCTCTAAAACAACACGCGTTTACCTTTACAACTAAATTCTAAGTTCTAAATATCTTCACACAGTTCATCCTTCAGCCTTCTGCCTTCGTCCCCCTGTTTTACTCTCTGCCTCTGTTTTGTCAATGGCCGGAAGGAAGAGAAGGAAGCAGAAATTGTAAGGGTTTCTCCTTTTGTGTAGTTTAAGAGGACCAGTTTTTAGCTCAATTCTTGTCATTTGTTTGATTTAGGTTCTTATATTTGAGGTTTCATGGAAATGGCACTAGGGTCTTAGGAATTGGAGGGGTTTAATGGCTTAGGAAGGATAAAGTTGAGTTCTTTATCCAGTAGCTACGTTGAATTGTTGAAAACTGTGTCAAATCTGAAAATTGATTTCTATCTGGGTTATCATATATCAGTTTGGTTATTGGGAAATTAACATGAAAGTTAGCATTTTGATGGTTTTTAAGTTAGGTTTTTGGATACGTAGGATTCAGCTAGTGTTTGGCTGCACATGCATCCTTTTGGTCAATGGGGTTAATATTTGAATGTTGGAGTTAAATTTTATTGGGTTTAGATTGGCCAAAATAGACCATCGAGCAATACTTGGGTTAGTGATATAAGTCAAGTGAGGATTAAGAATTCAAGATCAGTTTGGATCTGTGCAAATCTTAATGGAAGTTGAGCATTTTGATGGATTTTTTAATTCGTCGGCCTAATGGGCTTGCTTAGGTGTGATGCTAGTGTTAAGTGGGAAAATCCCACATCGAGTATAAAAGTAAGAAGCTCGTGGGTTAAATACAAGGAATGTCACTCCACCTATTACCAATTGGTTTTTGGTTGGATGCAAGCGTTGTGTTAAACCCACATGCACAATTTTCACATGATAAGGCCACTCCACTGGTTTTAGGTTGGATGCACAATTTTCACAGCTAGCTGCCAGGGTTTAGAATTTAGAGAATATAAGTTTTGGTTTGGTTTGGTTCATGCATCTTGTAACTATTAATAAATCTTGATTTTGAAATTTGGAGTTAATTTTTAATGCTTTTCATT